TCAAGGACAATAAGAAGTCCTTCTTTAGGTATGTAGGCAGTAGAAGGAAAACAAATGGAGGCGTGAGACCCCTGCTTAACCTCGGGACAGCTGATAACCAACATTCAGGAAAAAACTGAATTCATGAATGCCTACTTTGCTTTGGTATTTCACTGGACCATGGGGAAAGTCAAGCAAGATAAGGCTTATAGTGGGCATGCCAAGACTGACAGCCTCCCCATTGTGGGTGCAATACCAACTAGAAAAGCTAGACATTTATAAGTCAGCAGGACCAGATGGACTCCATCCGAGAGTGCTGAAGGTGCTGGCTGAGGTCATTGCAGAACCCCTGGTAAGGCTCTTTCAGAATTTATGGAACACAGGAGAGGTCCCTGAGGATTGGAAGAGGGCCAACATTGTGCCCATCTTCAAGAAGGGGAAGAGGGAGGACACAGGCATCTATAGGCCAATTAGCCTAACCTCTATCCCAGTGAAAATCCTGGAAAAGGTAATTAAAGAATCTATGTGCGATACGCTCATGGAAGGTAAGATTCTGAACAACAGCCAGCGTGGCTTTGTCATAGGTAGGTCTTGTCTTACCAATCTCATCACCTTCTACAACCAGGTATCTCGCCACCTGGACATGGGAGACAAGGTAGATGTTATATACCTAGACTTCCAAAAGGCTTTTGATCTAGTATCCCACAATATCCTTCTGGGAAAACTGGAAGATTGTGGGCTCAGGTGCTTGATGGTTCAGTGGGTTGGAAACTGGCTACAGGGTAGGGCCCAAAGAGTTCTCATGAGCAGACCTGTGTCGTCCTGGTGCAAAGTGGCCAGTGGTGTCCCCCAGGGGTCCATGCTTAGACCGGTGCTTTTCAACATCTTTATCAATGATTTGGATGGGGGAGTGAAAAACTCGCTGGCCAAGTTCACGGACGACGCCAAGGTATGGGGCAGTGTGGTTATGCTGGAACACAGGTTGCTGATACAGGCAGACCTGGACAGGCTCAAGAGTTGGGCAGACCAGAACCATATGAAGCTTAACACTTCTAAGTGTAAGGTGCCCTATCTGGGAGCAAATAACCCTCAATGTACATACAGGCTCAGAGGTGACAGCCTGATTTGCATCATGGGTGAAAGGGACCTAGGGGTAATGACAGACCATCTCATGAACATGAGCCATCAGTGCGATGCGGTGGCCAGCAGGGCAAACAACACACTGGTATGAATCATCTGATGCATCTCATATAAAACTAAGGAAGTGATACTCCTGCTGTACCCAGCACTGGTGAGACCACAGTTGGAGTACTGCGTCCAATTCTGGGCACCGCATTTCAATAAGGACATAGAAAAACTTGAGAGGGTCCAGAAAGGAGACACCTGTATGATCAAGGACTTGCAAGGCAAGCCATACGAGAAAAGGCTGAGGGACCCGGGCTTCTTTAGCCTAAAGAAGAGAAGGTTGAGAGGGGACTTGACAGCGGCTTACCGCTATGTCAGAGGAGTGCATCAGAAGCTTGGTAAACAACTGATCACTAGGGCACCCCTGGGGAAGACCAGGACCAATGGATACAAATTCCTGGAAGGCTGCTTCAGGCTTAATAACAGGAAAAACTGCTTCACAGTCAGGGTGGCCAGACTGTGGAATAAACTCCCTCCAGAAGTGGCAGAGTCACCTACCCTGGAGGTTTTCAAGAAGAGACTGGACAGTCATCTCAATCTAAGAAACTGTGCTGCCAGGTGCAATAGTCTGGGAGCTGACCTTGTGTAGAAAAGGCATTGAATACTTCAGCCCTTTCCTCATATCATCTGTCATTAGGTTGCATCCCCTATTCAGTATGAGACCCATGCTTTCCCTGACCTTCCTCTTGTTGCTAACATATTTGTAGAAATCCTTGTTACCCTTCACATCCCTTGCTAGCTGCAACTCCAATTGCACTTAGGCCTTCCTGATTTCATCCCTGCATGCCCGAGCAATATTGTTATACTCCTCCCTAGTCATCTGTCCAAACTTCCACTTCTTTTAAGCTCCCTTTTTGTGCTTAAGCTCACCGAAGAGTTCCCTGCTAAACCAAGCAGATCTCCTGGCATATTTGCTATTCTTCCTGCATATTGGGATGGTTTGTTCCTATACCCTCAGTAAGGTTTTTTTACAGTAAAACCATCTTTCCTGGACTCCTATATTTCTAGGAAAACATCCTGCAATGTCAGGGCATTAGGTTGCATAAGTTAGTGGATATATTTTCCACAGATGTTCTGCATGAACTTGAACAAGTTGCTTAATGATAAATCCACAAAGGTGCTTAGAACATTGCAATGGTTAAGCCTAGCTCCATAACAGAATACACAGTCCTGAATTCAGCACCCAGGTTTTCTACAACACACACTGTCAAAACTGAGAAAATGTTGGGCATGCCAAAAAGACTAGTTTTAGGAGCCTGCTAACTTCAGTGTAAATATTTAGACATCCGTGTACTTCAGGTGTCTCCAGTGTCAGATGATAACTAAGGGTGGGATCAAACTTTTGGTTTCAGAAGTCCAAAGGGGAATTGGGCAAAACGTAACTTTTTACCATTAATCTTTCTGGGGCACTGGTGGGGGTCAAAGGGGTGCAGCAGTTCCTGTGGCTCTGGATCCAGCCCCCACCCAGTGCCTGGGCTGTAGTCATAGTAGCTGCTTGCCCCCCCGCCCCCACCTCTGCACCCTGCCATCTCCCTCCTGCAGCCTCTTCCCCACTATCTCCCTGCTTCCCCAACTGTCCCTCTCCCTCCCCCGCCTAACCCTTGATCCATGCCAGGAGGCTCCATCCATGCTGCAGCCTGGGGCACTGAGCACGATCCCAGCCCCAGCCTGTAGCACCTTGTAGCAGCACTCCTTATGGCTGCAGAAGCTGGGAAGGGGGGGGGAGAAGAAAAAAAAAAAGACAATGGAGGGGAGAGGAAAAATGAAAGGAGAGCAAAGGCTGGAAGTGGGGAAAGATGAAAGAGTGAAGTGGGGAGCAGAGATCCTTTGCAGCAGTGGGACCTCTGCTCCCTCCCTCCCCCATAAATTAAAGATGGCTCTTCAATAATTAGGTTCTATACATGGAAAATTATAACAAATTTATAAATTTTCCATGTATAGAATCTAATCATTGGGGGGTTGTCTTAAATTTGAGTAAATATGGTGATATTTCTGTAAAGTATGTAGCACACCAGCATCCAAATCTCAGGTAGGGCTTCTAAGTGCTACCACAATATAAGTAATTAAAGTATAGAAGTGGGTTTTGGGGGTTCTTGGGGTTTGTTTGTTTTATCTGAGAGTATGATTTTTTTTTCTATAAATAACCAGAATTGTTGGAAACTTTTGATAAAATATCAATAAATATGGCATGATTAAAAGCCTCTGTGGTAACTAGCAGTGATTTCTTGTATGTTTTTCATAGAAATTATGTCGTTTTTCCAATTAATATAAATGTAAAGTGGAACTCTGTGCTTAAAAACAGTTAACCATTTAGGGCAGTAGTTCCTAACCTCGGGTCATGACCCAAATGAGGGTTGCGGGGGCAATGCCAGTGGTGCCGCACACAAAGGATGAGCCGTGCTGTGTGCCAAGAGCTCCCCCACCCCCTGGGCTGCTGCCACCGCACTCCACTCCCAGCAGTGGACCTTGGCAAAAAAAGGTTGAGAACTACTTATTTTGGGCTTTTTACAGCAGCAAAGCTTCCTTTTGACTAGAAATACACTTTTATGTGAGAGAAGTGCAAGAACAGACCCTTAATGTTAAGATGATAATATAACCTGTGTTGGTTTCCTTGTAATATCGTATTTTAAAAACTCCTTTGTACAATTTTAGTCTATGATATAGTAGCCAGCTTCCTACCTTTCTATATGAATCAGACTGACAAAGAAAAAAGAAAATTAACCAGTAAATGTATACATTAATTCCATGCAGCAGTTGTATGGGATCTCACCTGTTTGACCTTAATGACTTTTAAAGCATACATTCCTCTCTTTTAGTTCAAACAAAAAACATCTGCTTAGGAAAGTATTGGCTAGTCTTCCATTCATATTTAATTTACTGCATTGCTGTAACTGTATCATAAAGACAGTCATGCGTGAGATTAAATGCAGTTTATGAAATAAGAACACCACTTATTTAATTTGTTGTAAGTAATTCACCCCTGGTGCATTTAACAACATAATTATGTTAATACCAATACTGTTGCTCTATTCCACTGTGTCAAGAAGCACTGCACTTAAATCCATATCAAGGTCACCTTTCCCCACAACTCTTTTAATCCCAAACCACCAGACAATAAAAAACTGCTGTCAAAAGCAGTGACTGAACAGATTTATATATATATTTTTAATAGTGTAATAGAATTAAAGAGTTGTGCCACCTCCAATATAAACCTAATTTTAAGAATGTGAAGCATCTTACTTGACAGGCAGGAATATTAGACTCATTCTTAAAAAGAGCTATAATGCTTTTGTTCATCATGCATAAAAAGTCAGCTCCCTTATGACTGCTGTGGCTATCTGGGATTGAACAAAAATTCATTGGGAGAGAAAGGGATTCTTATCATTATGCTCTAAACCTATTCAAGTGATGTAATTTTTCTTAAGTTTTATTTATTGCATTTTACTTTTTACAGTTTAAAAAGTTTGTTTTTTGTTTTTTTTCCAGACAAACATCTTTGCAGTATAAGGGGTTGGGGTTTGAACTAAACCCATAGCTAAAACATTATTAGGCACCAACAATGTGACAAGTTCTGTACCAAAGGAGCTGTGGGCATCTACAGAACAATCTGGGGCCAAAGGCCCATTGTACTATGTGGGAAAATTCACAGCAGGACCAGTGCTTTAATATGGATCTTGCATGTAGGCTAGGTGTTGCTTATTTGTGATTTGCTCTATTATGTGCTCTGTTACATAATCTCTTTTCTTCCCTTCCTTTCCCTGTGACTTTTATTAGAGCTGATTTTTTTGTAATAGTGAGTAATTTATGCCATATGAAGGATCATAACTTTCCTTTACCTGTTCTTTGTTTCCATCTGTGTTTATCTGTCCATGACCTATAGTAAGTCAAAAGTTATATTTTAAATACCTGCCACAATTTACTGTTTTTTCCCCCTCAAATTTACATCTCTGGAATGAAATTACCGTCACCATTACCAATGCTTGTCCAAATTTTCAATCTGTTTAGTTAACAAGCATTAAAATACAATTGGTTGTTCAAACATATACAAAAATGTCATTTCCTAAGACTGTTCTGCTCTGCAGTTAACTCACCCTACTTTAAAGCACAACTAACACTCTATTTAGCAAAATATCAAATACTAACTTCTGTATTTTATAAAAACAATGTTAAATCAAATGGAAGAAAAACAATACAATGTAAATACTGGCACAGAAAACATTATATATAATTATTTTATTTCAAAGCTTTTGTCTTAAGAAGAACCTGAAACTATATGTAGTGGGGAGGGAAAATCAGAAATATTTCTAACTGCTTTGAGCACTTCCTTAATTCTCATCTCCTGAAACTGTTATCTTGATAAAGGCACAAAGAAAATAGTTAATTACATGGCTATAACATGCCCAGGGTCCCCAATTTCATGGTCTTATTATGGCCAGGACTGCCATTTTAAAGGCGGAGCAAAGTGGGACCCTCCATGCTTCTGGTTGGCTGAAGGGTGCGGCAAGTCCTAACCCTCCCAGGCACTGATTGAAAGCCCTAGCTCAGGGGTGGGCAAAATATGGCCTGCAGACTGGATCCAGCCTGCCAGGTGACTGGATCTGGCCCACAGCTGCCCCTGTGGCACTCGACAAGCATTAAAAGGGGCCATACTTTGCCCACTTGCACCAGGGCGGCCTGTGCCTGGATCCCTCCTGTGCCTGCTGGTTTGGACCCTGGCCAGTGAGCAGCCAGGGCTGTTCCTGCTGCAGCTGCAGCTGGGTGCTGCTCTGCACCACCCCCATCTCCAGTTCCAGGATCTGGAGCCAGGCCCCCTGCATGCCTGCCAGGAGTGACATGGCACAGTGCAGCAGGAGCAAGATGAGGAGCTGCTGCTGGAAGCAAGGGGTGCAGATCAACACTCAGCTGGCTGCAGCTTCATCAGGAACATCCTGCTGGAAGCTGCTCCTGCCCCTGCTGTACCACACCATTCCAGGCAGGTGGGTGAGCAAGCAGCTTCAGCCAGGTTGCTCTTGCCACAGTGCCAGAGCTCCAGCTCCAGTTCCTGGCTGCTTTCCTAGGAGCTGGAGCCAGAGCCCCAGGTGCTGGAGCAGAAGCAGCTTCCAGCAGGCTGTTCCCTGTGTGGCTGCATCCAGCTGAATACAGCTCTGCACCCCCTACCTCCAGCAGCAGCTCCTCCTTTCCCTTCTGCTGCACCATACTGCACAACTCCTGGCAGAAAAGTGGGGGTTCAGCTTCAGATCCTGTAACTGGAGGAAGGGGGCACAGAGCAGCATCTGACCTGGCTGTGGGTACCAGTAGGAGCATGGCATGGGCTGCTCCAGTGCAAATGAGTGGAGCTCAGCCCCATGCAGAGTACCACAGAGGCAGCATGGACTGCGCTGCCTGGGAAGCTCTGCTAGATGCGCTCCCTGCCCTCTCCCCATCCCCTCACCCTTATCACCCTGTTTCTTCCTCTCTCTCTCCTCCCCCGACTTCAGAAGACAGGGAGTCTACCTTTTTTTTTTTTCCTCTTTGCTCCTTTCCCCCCTCCCCTGCCCTTCTAGGAGACAGCTTTTTACCAGCTCTTTGCCAGCTTTTTTAACACAGCTAGTTCCCTGCACTTTTTCACAGGGATCCAGCTATTTTATGAGTGACTGCCAATTACACAATTTCTGTAAAATCTGTGTGTAACAGCCTGGCCTTTTAGGTTCGGGTCTCAATGACGGCCACCTGCCTGTTTAGGGCTAAACCTCTGTCTCACTCATCTGCCACACCTTGATGAAAAATAATATGATTGTTGTTTCTAAGGTGGGAAGCTGCCCATTGCTCACTCTCCTGATGCCAAGGGCCTTGGTGCACACTCTGACCTACCCTTACATGTGTCCCATGCCTCACTGATGTTCAATCTCACATCCAGTCTTTCCATATTGTCACATCTGGCCTTTCCATATTCCCAATTCAGTAATTCTCCCCCTCACTAGGGCCACTCATCTTTACTGTCCTCAACGGGGCCTCTCTACACACCCAACACCTCACTGGGCCTTCTGCTTCACAAGGCCACACTCAGCCCCACTCTGGGCTGCTTCACTTCCCCAGTGGCCCAGAGAGGCTGAGCTCTTTCACCCAGTGGGGCTCAGGTGGCTAATGCTGTGCCTGGCTCCTAACACTGTGGTCTCTCACCCTGTAGGCTCAGGTGGCTGCTGCCATGCCTGGCCCCTAACACTAGGGTCTTTCACCCGGTAGGCTCAGGTGGCTGCTGCTATGCCTGGACCCACTACACTGGGCTCAGGTGTTCCCCTCTGGGATTGCCTGGCCTAGGTCTCTTCCCTTGTTGGTAACCCACCGGTAGGCAGGGGCTGGAGTTTTCAGGCACCCCTCCTCACCTTTCACCAGGGAGGTAACTGGCCTGGCATTTCCTGCAGACTCACCCACCACAGGGAGTCCCACCAGGCCATCCTTCCCCAGCAGGGTGCACTTTCACGTCATACCCAGGACCAGGAGCCTCCAAACCATCCCCATAGCTCCTGCCCTTACCTCCAAGGTGTTCCAGGAGCAGCTCAGGCTGATGTTGCTTTCTTGCCTGATCATCTCAGACTGGTGCTTCTCCCTCTGAGGGCCTGGGTTAAAATGGAAGCTACTCCACCCCCTCAGCCAATCCCAGGGTCCTCCTAGGGTCGTGTGCTAGCCTAGATGAGGCTAGCACCCACCTGCTGGCTACTCCACTGCTAACTAGAAACCTTAAAGTGGCAGGAACTGTAGGTGCCCTGTCACACCATGAAATCATGTATTTGTTAGATCCCTAATCACTGGGCAAGAAAGACTGATGTAATCCATCTGGATTTCTGAAAGCTCTTTATTTCTATTTTTCTTTTGATAAAGTATAGGTGTTAACTTGCAATAACTCCTGGTGGGGAGGAAGACAATATATGCATTACTTTGAACTTCAAACAAGTGTTTTGGACTCTTTAAACTCATTTCTAAATGCGACTTAAGTATAGAGAAGGTGTTCCTCCATCCTGCCTCCCAAGAATACATTTCCACAAATATCAGCTCATTATTTCACAGAACTTCTTGTGGAACTCCCATTTCCCTGGCCAAGTGTAATCAGCTGCCCTAGGAAAGTTATCAAAACAATGAAGTAGCTTGGAATTAACAATTTATTAAATCATTAAAAAGCTTCTGTAGCTTACTCCCCCATGAAGATTACTTCCAAGTTAAAAAGAATTTTACTACTGCAATGATAAACGTATATGAAAAACTGGAAATGAATCTCACAAGTTTTCTATTATAGTCAGCTTAATCTCCACAGAGGTCTCTTAGGGAAAATCACATTCCTTTATATATAAATTGGCTCATTAGAATTTGGTATATGCTGGAGACATGCAGGTAGCCAATCAGTCTCAGGAACAAACTGTCAAAAAACAGACTTTACAGTTCAGTATCAAATAAAAGCAGATGCAGTACTTGTCTTGAATAGCCTAATACAATCTCAGGATAGAATTATAAATCAGGTTATGTTCACCTCAGTGTAGCATGGATAATGTAACGTATAGAATTCCATCATACACAGAAATAGCTACTATAAATGAAAAATTGTATCAAATCCATTTAATATATGGTCTTTTGAATTTATCTCATCCAAAGCAAAGATAAGCTAGTAGAGAGGGATGGCTAATGAGTGGAAATAGTGGTTCAGCATGAAAAAATTCCCTATTTTGCTGTGACTATGACTAAGAGGGCATAAAGCTGTCATACTACAACAGAGTACGAGACCAGGACTTTCACTTATCCTTCTGGTGAGGAACATTCCTATGTAATGTCTGATATATTTAACACGAGTGAATACTGCACACATCTGAGTGCCTACAGAAGCAAGTCAAGCCCACTACAAAACTGATCTTTGTACCTGTGCATTGCTAGTATACCCATCAGCATTATTTAGCCATAATGGTGGCAGTAAAACTCTAACTCTATTTTTTTCTAACAGTAGCATAACTAAGATGGGGCAATTGGGGTATGAGCCCTAGGCACTGATTTATGAAGGATGCAAAAATAGTAGCTGCTGCTGCTCTCCCAGCAACTGAAACCACCAAGAGCCCAGATGTAGTCAATGTCCTGCTAACCACTGCCACCCAGGGCACAGAACTACCCAGTTATGCCTCTGCTGTCTAATGTTTTTGGATTACAAAATTCCAATAAAAACTTTCCATTTACTTGTTTAGCAAATGCTGTTTTTCAAAAACAGGTGGCCATCTGAATCAGAAAAATGAAGGTAAATCTTCAGGTCATATGGTAGATTCAAACTACTTTCTAGGAGCCATGTAGACTTTTGTCTTGCACCTCTAAGGCTCTACTAATAATAAAAACAGAAAGAAAGATTTTTGGCACCTGTGGGCTACTCACTAGAATTTGTGTGGTGATCCAGCCACAGACTCCCAGGCTAGGGACAGACATTCAAAAAGCCTGAGCCTGAATTGATTCAATCTTTGCAAGTTAGTCTAACCTGCATAGATTGAACTGATTTGCAAGTGAATAGACATCACTTTAGATTCACTAAATGCAGGCATGTGTCTGCAGTGTCTCAGGCCAGAAACCAAGGGGTGCAAGCCCTCCCTTCATTTACATACTGTTGAGCTAATGTGGGGCATGGCCAGGCCCCAGCAGGACACTATGATTAGGGGTGTGCTTAGAGCGGGAGGAGGAAGCATCCATTGCCAGGCTTTTCCCCCACTTGCAGCTCAAGGGGCAGAGAGTGTTGCCAGACCCTGGTCCCAGCTAGCATTCTGAGGTAAAAGGGTGGGGGGGAGGAAGGAGCTGCTTGTGTGGATTGCAGACAGCCCAGTATGCATCTGTATTATCCTGCTAGCTAGTGCTTCATATTTGCTTAAATCTCAAACTGACAGCACTGACAGGTCTCATTCATTGCAAACCAGGTCATTTCTCACACCTCTCTGTCCCTTGTCCCCCTATCTCCTGTCCACTGGCAGATTGCAGGACAGAGAAGCTGCACTCTAACCAGGCTCAGTAATTGATGCATAAAAACAATCACCAGCATTAATCACTGCATAGTGAAACTTCACTTGATATAAGGGTTTCAGGGTGGGAGATGCCTCTGGCTTTGAAGCAAGCTAGCAGGGAGCTTATCAGAACACAAAGTTTATCACCCCATCAAGAAAACAAAAGCTTCTCTCTCATTAGTTCAAGCTCTTCTTACCTCAGGGTACAGGAATTTTGCAAGGCATTTGCAAGTCACTGGCTTCTTGCTCAGGAAGAGAGGAGGGAGGGCAGCTAGCTGACAGCCATTACTAGCTGACCTGATGATTAGTTCCAGGAAGCCCTAAGTGTACATTGTTCCATCTGCCTTTGTTCCAGTGAAATTGGAAATACACAGACATAGACACCTCTCAGGATTAGCTAGCAAGGGGGTGGCATGGCCAGATGTCAGCTGGGGTCTATGTCACTAGGGTCACCGCTGTGTCAGAGAGGAAGGAGGGGTATCAGAGATGAAGGATCTCTGCTTGAGCAGCAAGGCAGGGTGGGGCAGGGGGAAGCCTGGCAGACACTGTTGTGCTCCTGCCAGGCAGACCGTGGCTGCAGTCCCCCACTCCCTTCTCAGCCAGCTGGGGCTCTGGCTAGGGAGGAGAGGGGCCAGGCCAGCCCAGCTCTCTGAAGCAGAAAGCCCAGCCCAGCCCAGGGCTGAAAAGCATGCTTGGATGCTGGGGGACTCTGATTTAACTTAAACCAGAAAGGGCTATGGGACAGACATTGCATAAACCGGTTTGACCCAAATCAGTTAAGTCTACATTCAACCAGGTTTATCTTAAACCAGCTTTGGCCATTTTGAAACTGGTTTATGAGCACTGAACTTATGTTCTGTTACACGTTTAAAGCAGTTTCTGATCACTTAAACCAATTTATGTGTAACTTCTGTCCCTAGCCTCTGAGTGTGTTGATCTAGAATCCAAATCAAGAATAGGCCTCTTTTATATTGGAGCTGAGAGATGACTTTTCCAGAGTCCAGATGCTTTGTCTGTCCTAACAATTGTAATTCAATGTCCAGATGCCCGTCTCTAGAGCCTGTCCTACCTCCTCAGACATATCTCCTCTCTCTGACAAACCTGAAAGGTGTAAGCTTTCTTACATGCAGTTTAACTCTCTAGGAGTATTCTGATATGTGGTGTGAGCATGCAAACACAGATAGGCTTTTCAGAGAATTTCTAACACATAATTGATTTTTTTAAAAGTACCAGAAATTACAAACCATTAGGGAAAAAAAAACTCCCTGACCAGCTAACCCTTTTCTTGAAAGTGTTGGGATCTGGCTGCATGCAGGAAGTCAGGCTATCCTCCACCATATCAAATTCCTAAAACAGACACCTCCTTCTCATCTTAAACCACTGAAAATGGCTAAAAATAGGAAAAGACACAACTCCTGCTCTTTTACGATCATCTAGTCCTACTGGGTATTGACACGTGACAAATGTACATTAGTGCATCCTGCCCTTTGTTAAATGACACTCTGATCACTGCCATTCAAATGATCATAAATTATACCAGGTAACATAAATGCCAAAGCAAGCTTTCCCATGACCACCCAATTACTAAGACATTTCTACTTGAATAGAGGATGATCTTCATTAAAAACTCTCTACTGCTAGACTTATATTACCACCCTGGTGGTGAAAAGACAACAAAGAAGGTAATAGGTTATCTTTCCAAATCTGAGTTTACACCTTGGCAAAGATGCATACAGGGAACTCACAATCTCAAACAGAATAATCTGTTCAGGTTGCCACAACCCTATAAGGACTATCTTTCTTAGCCTATTATGGTTTTATATCACTCCATCCTTCATGAATTCTAAATGATCATCCATTAAAAATACTCAAAGTATTTTTAACATCACACCATTATACCTTCTAATATCAGAGCTAGCTAACATTTTCTCTCTATGTTAAAAAAGATGGCCTACTGAAAAATGTGAGCTAAAATATTTTTATGGATAAACATCAATCCTAATAAAAAATTCAATTCCTCCATGTAAAATATTAAAATGGAAGTTTTCATATGGAATCAAAAATCTGAAACAAAATGACATATTTTGGTATAACTTGAAGTAACATTTTGATTTTGCAAAATTTTAATTTACATTGATATTTGGAAAGTAAACAAAAATGATGGTTTTGATATGTGGATTCAAAATAAATCCTTTTGGTTAGAATCATTTTGGCTCTTCCCTGGGAAGAGCTAGCAGGCTTTAAAGGCAAAGTTATTAATGAGATTTTTCATTGGAAAATTTCTTACAAGAAAATTTTCATTTTTTAACCAGTTCTATTCAGTTCCTTTTACAAGACAGGACAACCGCTCCCAGTTCCAAGACAGGAAACCTCTTATGTCCATTGCTGACCTCCACCATGAGTATAATGGCAGAAAAATCATTCCTACATAGATAGACCATATTTTACATATATGTGCACACCTTGCCACTGCAGAACTTGCAGCATTTTTAAAACCTGGACCCTAGGCATCATTTTAGATTTATCAGATGCTCTGAAGATCCTGAAGATATTTTGTGAGAACTCCAGAAAT